TCCCATGCCCAGGATGGATAAAGCAAGAGCTGCCAGACACTCAGCTTTTGCACTCACCCCAAGCTGGGAAGTCACCCCAACCTTTCTTCACTCTCCTCTGATATCTAGTTAGCTGCCAGGCCCAGGAGATTTCATCTCCCTGTTATCTGGTGCGGTGCCTTGTTTTATCTCAGGTATCTGTGCCTGCCTCTTCTTTCCCATGGCTGCTGGTTTTGTTCAGTCCTCCTTCCTTCACTCTGGGATCACTGCAGTGGTTTCCCTGTGAGGCTTGGTCTCATGGCCCCTTAGAAATCACCTTCCCACCTTCCACACAGGAGGCTGAATGATGTTCTAACATGCCAACCTGATTATTCAGTCTCCCCATCACGTCCTGGCTCCCACGTACACCCTTCCACCTTGAGTTAGCCTGTTTGTAGCTTTCTTCTGTCTAGAATATTCTGTAGTCTTTCTTCTGGCAAGTCTTCCCAAGCCTGGGTCCTACTCGCTTCTCTCTGTCAGTGCATGTCTTCACAAGCTTTCCTTCCAGATCCCAAGGCCCTCTGCTTCCAGATCAGCCCATGAAGATGCATCATTACGGGTACATCACGCTGTATTGTCATAGCCAATGCCTGTCATCAGGCAACAGTCTATCAAGCATCAGCAACCTGAGGGCAATAAGACCCTGTCTTACTCGGTCTTACATCTTCCCTTCCTAAACCATTCTTGTACATGGCATTTGGCACAGTTCTGACAACTAAGTAAATAGTAATCCATAACAATACATGGTTGTTAGAAGAATGTACAAGCATTCATTTAAAAAATGTGTATTAAGTGTTTAGTAGGTGCCGGGTACAATTTCAGACATTGGGGATTCAGAACAGAATGAGGCATACAAGACTTCTGGTCTCAGTGAGTCTGTAGCCTGTTAAGCCAAATGGATAATAAAGACTCATACCTGTAATCTAAGCACTCTAGGAGGCCGAGGTGAGTGGATTGCTTGAGTGTAAGATTTTGAGACTAGCCTGAGCCAAGAGTAAGATCCTGTCTGTACTAAAAATGAAAAACTAAGGCAAGAGGCTCACTTGAGTCCAAGAGTTTGAGATTGCTGTGAGATATGATGCCATAGTACTCTACCAAGGGCAACAAAGTGAGACTCTGTCTCCATAAATAAATAGTTACATAATATAATGTGAGACAGTGGCAGGAGCTATAAAGAAAAATAAAGCTGGATAAAGAGAGGAAACATGATAGAGGTGACATTTTGGATGGGATGTCCAGGACAGGCAGTTTGAACCGAGGCCTAAGTGAGCAGTGGACCCTATGGACGCGCGCGCGCGCACGCGCGCGTGTGTGTGTGTGTGGTGGGCAGTGCCAGACAAACGAAATAGCAAGTGCAAAGGCCCTGGGGCAAGAACAAGCTCAGCCTGTACAGTGCATAGCAAGGAGGCCAGGATGCCTGGAATGCAGAGCACGGGGGTATACCTGGTAGGGCATTAGATCCAGAGAACTGGGGGTTAGGTCAGGCAGAGCCTTCTGGAATCCTTAGGACTTTGGAGTTTATTCTAAGTGTGATGAGAATTCAATGGTAGGTGTTAAGACTCATGAGTCATGATCTGACTTATCTTTTCAAGGATCACTTTGGCTCCTGAGCAGAGATCATAGATTATGAGGGACATGATCAGAAGCAGGTAGACCAGTAAGGACAATGGCCCAAAGAGTGATGCTACTGACTTGGACATCCCTACCACAGCAGGGAGAAGGGGTCAGACTTTGGATGCACTTTGCAAGCATAGCAGACAAAATTTGCTGCTAGTCTACTATGGAGTGGATGAGGAGGAGAGCAGTCCTGGGGGACTCCAAGGCTCTTGGCACCCAGTGTGCTGGCCATCTTCTTTGTCAATGAAGGAGGAATGGTTTAGGAATAAAGTTGGAAAGGAAGTGTTCTGTTCTAAACCTGTGAGTTTGAATTGCTGCCAGGACTTAGTTTTGTCCTCTGTGAAATGGGGGTAATGTTTATCTTACAAGATTCCTTTTGAGAATTCCTAATGAGAATCCTTTTCATATTATCTGAATGGAAGGTCTATTTTTATTCACACTGAATCTAGGAGTTGTTTTTTTTTTTTTTAAAGAACACAAACAGAACTCTGTCTTACTATCTATTGGCTGAACTTGTTCAATTGTCCTTTGCACCAAGAAATGATATCAGTAATAGATGCACTGTCCACACTTATATATTTAACATTTATATACAACTCACTATGTACCCAGCATTATTTTCAGGGCTTTGTAAATATTAGTACATTTACCCTTTGTGGTACATACTGCTATTATCCCCCCCATTTTACAGATGAAACTGTGCCACAGAGAAGTGATTTGGGCAAGGTCCCATAGCTAGTAAGTGGCAGAGCCAGGGGGTCAACCCTAGGGCTTCTGACTCTGCTCCCACCACTTAAGCCGGGCTGTACAACCTTGGTTTCACGTGACTTGTGATGGGCTCAGCATGAGTATGCCTGGTGACTGACACCAGTGCCTGAACTCTTGCACCTGCCGGTCTTCCTGCCTGGGTTCCTACAAAACCTCTGCTCAAAAGAAGCCTGCCAGCTTTGATGGCAACGCCCCCCTTTGTCTCCCTGCCTTCTTTAGGCCACTGCTAGCCACCCAAGCACTCAAGGTCTTTTGTGCCTTTCTTCTAATGCCCTGAGGTCAGCCTCCTCCCAGCATTACCACACACAAGCTTTTTGGTATCCTGCTTTCTCCACTCCCGCCTCACTGCCAGTTGTTAACAAGTTGTTTTAAGCTTGCAAGCATCGTTTTCCATTCATGTGTTGAAGAAGATCCTGTGTCCCAGTCACAGAGCTGAGTGCTGAATGACCGATGAACATGACCTGAGTGACCCCTGACCTCACCAGAGATCTTAAGCTAGAGAACAGGTTCAATGCTTTTCAATTTGGGGTGTTCTCCCTTCTGTCACTAATTTGGTGCAAAGCAGGCATTCAAAGAATAGCCATTCTTTTATTTAGCAAATGTTTATTGAGCACCTACTACATACATACAAGGCAGGCAGTGTGACAGGTGCCGAGAATATGGCAATTTACCAGACAAATGCATAGTCCCCACAGCTCCGGAGGAAACCGGCCAGCTTCGGCCTGCCCCCATTCCCCTACCCCCAGCTTCTCCGCGAGGACCTGGGAAGGGAGCAGTGGGGTAAAGGTGGGGGCTAGCTGGACAGAGTGAAGGTTTCGGGAAGCAGCAGCGACTGGCGCTGAAGCAAGAGGCGGGCGTGGCATTTGGCCACGGAGACATCCATCTCCAAAGCCAGACACGAGACGCACATGCCACGGTCGCTTTGAAGACCCCTGCCCGCCGCTGCCACCTACGCAACAATGTCTAAGCAGGCGGGGGCCTATGGTGTGGGGGAGCAGAGCCTGCTGAGACTAGACTTGTCGCGAGGACTGCGGCTGAACTGTGCGTGCGCGACCGGAGGGGTGGCGCACGGTGCGAGCAAGCTCGCTCAGGAGACCGGAGAACTCCACGGCCCAGCGCCCAGACTCTGAAGCCTGGGTTCCAATCCCATGCCTGTTGCTTACTTATGTCACCTTGCACAAGTCCCTTCGCTTCCCTGGGGCTTATTTACATCATCACTGACAAAATGGGTTTTCAATAACCTTAGGGTTGGTGCGAGGACTAAAAGGGAGAATGCCTGGAAGGGTGTTAGTATGGTACTCATCACGTGGGGAATGCTCCCGGAGCGGAGGTTGCAAGTGCCCGCTATTCACACCTCGCCAGGTTCCCCCCGGTCTCTCCTGGGTCCGGGTGTCCGGGGATCTCTTCCAAGGGACAGGAGACCAACGCATTAGGACGCGCCTAGCCTTGATAGATTTATTTGCTTGCTTGGGGCGGGGTTTGGAGCGAGGCAAGGAGGAGAGGGAGATGGTGAGGGCAAAGAAAGGGAAGAAGCGGAGGGGCAGGAGAGTGAGGCGGGGCCGGGGAGGAGTCGGCCGGGCTCCTGGGCCCGGGCGCAGCGCGCACCGGGGGCTGGCGGCGGCGGGGGCGGGGGCGGCGCGCGGCGGCCAATGGCGCGCGGCGCTACGGCGAGGGCGGTGCAGGAACACTGGCCGCTGACAGCCAAACTCGCCAACTCCGCCCTGGTCCCCGCGGGATCCTGGAGCCCGAGCCGGCCTGGGGCCGAGGCCGCCCGAGCCGCGCTGCTGGCGAACATGGCAGCAGAATGAGGGGGCTGGTGCCGGGTCGTGGCCACCGCTACCGCGCTGCCGTTCGGGATCCACATCCTTAGCCCGCCTCCTGCTGGCCGCGGGATTATTTCATTCCGAGCGGAGGCCGGGGTAGAAAGGGGACTCTGCAGCCCAGCGGGTCGGTGCTCTGGGCAGGGTGTAGAAGAGGTTCGTCTTAGCGACTCGCTGGCTGCGGAAACGACGCAGGAGATAGTCGGTCCCGGGCTGTGGCCGCGTGGACGCTGGGATGAGCTGGCCATGGAGCGGCCTTGGCCGGGAGCTCGCAGCTGGCCGGCGCTGCGGCGGGAGCGCCGACTGAGCCGGGACTCGGCGGGACTTCCGGGCCTCCGGCGCCCAAGGGGGGTCCTTGCCGTCGCCTCCGGGAAGGACGGGAGCCCCGCGTGGCGGACACTGCAGCAGTCACCATACTGAGGCGGCCCGAGCTTGCTCCGCCCGCAGCTCGGTGCACTCTTGGCACCCGGGCGCCTTGCCTGGTGCACCGCGGCTGGCGCACCACGGCTAGGTAGGCTGCACGGGCGGGGTGCAGGACTGGCTGGAGGGGTGTGTGTGCGGGTATTCGACTGGAAATCGGAGAAGCAGCAGAATCGGGCGGACCTGAGCAGCCATGCTTCCCGGGGTGGGCGTGTTCGGCACCAGCCTCACGGCCCGTGTCATCATCCCACTGCTGAAAGACGAGGGCTTCGCGGTGAAGGCGCTGTGGGGCCGCACGCAGGAAGAAGCAGAGGAGCTGGCCAAGGAGATGAGCGTCCCCTTTTACACTAGCCGCATTGACGAGGTGCTTTTGCATCAGGACGTGGACTTAGTGTGCATCAACCTGCCGCCGCCCCTAACCAGGCAGATCGCTGTCAAAACCCTGGGTGAGCGGCCCCTTCCACCTCTCCCCTTTAGCCTTCTTTCCATTCCTTTACCCGCTGCCCTTCTCTCTCCGCGTTCCAGAATCTTAGAGATTCCCTCGTCTCTGGCCTTCTCCACCTCTGCGAGTTCCCGCCCTCCTCCTAGCACCACCTGAATGCGCTTGCCCACGTGTGTGCTTGGAGGAGGCGTGCGTACCAGGGATGGGAACCAGGTGGATCAGATCCGCGATACTGAGAATAGGTTTCTCTGCAGGGAGAGGAAACTTGGTCCCCAGCTGTGTGCCTTGTGTCGAAGTGTGAGCGCGCGCCTGGTGGAGGCGAACGCGCTCCCAGAAACGCCGGAATAAAGGGCCGCACACGTGTCTCTGGTTTTCCTAGAGAAATAAATGTACCTGCAGTTCAACAGCTGTGGCGCCCTGCTAGGGTCGTTTGTTTCTTTCTGCTGTGAGTTAGTTTAGTGTGAGATTAGAGACGTGACAATCGACCAGAGCATTTGGTCTGCGCTGGAGGCAAGGCTGATTTACGGCAGTGGTTGGATAGGGGAGGCGTATTAGAACGTTTTCAGAGGCGTACAAGGCAGTAAAGTCTGATTTAGTAAAACCAGAGGGATTTTTAACTTTTGAGTGCAGCCGCTCTGGAACTATCTTCTGCACCGATTTGGAATCGTAGAACTTAAATGTTTAGGGGATGGACGCGCTAGTTCCAGAGGCATGGATGCTTTGTGTCAGCAAAGGCTTTCCTTAATTCCTTCAGGAATAGTTCGGGAAAGCATGACGTTGACAAGCAGGCTGGGGATGTTCACCCCTCACCATCCAGTACCTCCACCCAAGGCCCAGGCAGTCTCAATCTCTGAGGACAAAATATCAGCGTCCATGCCGTTGCTTAGGGGAAGCAGAAGGGCATGATTCCCCCATGCCTAAAACAGTCCCAGGAAGATTGCTCACTCTCTACTATTGCAAGAGAATTACTAGCCCACCCTTGAAGTTTCTATTGGTGAGGAAAGGCAAACCTTGTAACAAGATACCACATTAGAACAGAGTTACTAGGGAAGAACTAGGAACAGGGTCAGCATCCAGGAAACAACTGTAATTTATGTAGTCTTGGAAAGAACATTTATCTTTTTTATTTGTTTGGAAGAACATTTTATTTAAAAAAATAGGTATATGGACGGCACCTGTGGCTCAGTGAGTAGGGCCCCGGCCCCATATACCAAGGGTGGCGGGTTCAAACCTGGCCCCCACCAAACTGCAACAAAAAACAGCTGGGTGTTGTGGTGGGCGCCTGTAGTCCCAGCTACTTGGGAGGCTGAGGCAAGAGAATCACTGAAGCCCAAGAGCTGGAGGTTGCTGTGAGCAGTGACATCACAGCACTCTACAGAGGGCAATGCAATGAGACTCTGTCTCTAAAAAAAAAATTAATAAATAAAAAAGGTATAAATTCGGGTTAGGTGAAATGTCCATGCATTTTATTTTCTGCCTTCAAAGACCTATGAACAGAATGTAGAATACTTTCTCTATAGCAAACCATTTTACTCAAGGCCATTTGGCTCTGGACTCAGATGGGACACCTGATAGACATCTGGTAGAATTCCGGAGGAGACTGCCCAGCCTTGTCAGTTTTAACATTACTATTATTAAACTTCTGGCCTTTGTAGCCTTGAATCATTTAGCCTCGAATTAAATGCTACTGAGTCTGGCCAATATTTTCGTTCTGTTTGATGGGACATACATGCTGGGTAGTTAATTTTCTTGTTTACATTAGATCTATGCATATCAAATGGATTATAACCATCGTAGGTATAATTCTATTAGGGCAACTTGTATAAAACCAGTCTCTCTTGAGCCCCAGCTGTACCAGAGGGCTTAGGACCGGTCATATCAGAAAGACTGTGTTGTGACATTGCTTCTCCCCTCTATAATGTCTTAGTTTTGCAACTCAAACCCACAAAGCAAACCTAGAGCAAGAGAGTGGCCATTGGGGAATAAGGATGGTCTTGTTTTCTCACCCTCTCTGGCAAATATTTGAAGGCTGTGCTTTCAAAGACGTGACACACATTATACATATCTGGATGATACTTCTGTTCTTATTTTCCAAATTAATTTTTCATTAATAAGACCCATGTGTCCTCCCCAAAACCAAGCATAAGAACATAATAGACCATGACTAAGGAATAGGGTTCTGTTTATATTTTCATGCAGGTCTTAGGCTTTTTTTTTTTTTTTTTTAACTCTGTCTGTAGGCCACATAAGGTAGTCTGTGATTATGGAAAATCTGGAGGCACTGGGTTTAGATGCGGCTGGACTTTGATCTCGTTTTAGACTTCATCTTCACTGGAAAATCCCTGGAGGAGACTCCCCTTGGTTGTGTCTGCAAATACACAGTGCATTGGTTGTCTTGGTTTGTTTGACACTCACAGTAGGAGATTCAACACACCCTACACAGGAAGTGAAAACCCCCAAACAGTTACCAGACTGGTCTGCCTGTGTGTGTGTGTGTGTGGGGGGGGGGTTATAGATACTAGTGTTTGCCTGGAATTGAAACTAGCCACTCTGACTAGTCTAACTCTTCGTGAGATAAGAGTTTCACTCTGTCACCCTGGCTAGAGTGCAGTGACATCATCATAGCTTGCTGCCACCTCAAACTCCTGGGCTCAAGCGATCTGCCTCAGCTTTGCAAGTAGTTGGGACTACCGGGATCCATCCTGATACCTGGCTAATTTTTCTGTTTTTAGCAGAGATGAACTCTCACTTTTACTCAGGCTAGTCTCAAACTCCTGAGGGTAAATGACCTTGCACCTCTACCTCCCAGAGTGCCTGGTGATTGTCCTTTTAACAAAGTCCTGGGTTCTGAAATGCTTACCCCGTGATAGCAATGGGCCTGTGGCCCTGGATCCAGATTCTTAACTTATCACGGGCTGTCAAGGTGAGGGGCTGTACTAGGGACCAAGAAAAAGGAAACTGTGACTCAATTGAATCACACACATTCTCCCTTAATTTTAAAAATGTCCCTACCTTAATGAACTAGGCATTCCTCTTTCATAGAGACAATT